GACAGTCAGGACTGCAGAAAAGGTCATTGGTGTGAGCCTGCCCTCCATGGAGGACCTGTACACCTCACGGGTCAAAAGGAGGGTGGAGAGGATCACTGCAGACCCCTCACACCCTGGACACAACCTGTTTGAACCCCTCCCCTCTGGACGGCGTTACAGGTCACTGTGCACTAAGACAACCAGGCACAGGAACAGTTTCTTCCCCCAGGCTGTCACTCTGATGAACACTTAACCAATGACAGTATGATTGGACAATAACCCTCAGTGCAATACCTGTAAATATATATATTGTACAGATTATACAGACTCATACAGGTCTCTAGTACTCTGTTTTAATTACTCAATTTTTATCCCTACTTATCTCATTACAAAGAACATTCCTTTGTTGTCTGCATTGTTACTGTCTGTATATACTGCTTATTCTGCATTGTTTGCACTTTCTGTTGCTTTTAAATACCGCTTATTTTTGTTATATTACACAGCCTTATGCTGGTTTGCTGTTTGCACATTGAGAGCCAATGTATCTGAGTCAAATTCCTCGTGTGTCCAACACACCTGGCCAATAAAGCTGATTCTGATTCTGAATGGTTTTCATAGCTGAAAATATGCTGAAAAAATTAAGTGCCAAAAAATGGACAGAAGAAACCATAATAATAATAATAATAACAATAAAGACCAGGATAACATAGTATGGATGCTTTTCAGTATCCATACAATAATAAATAAAGAACAGAAGAGCATAACTGAAAATCCAGTTTTGGAACATAGCCTTGTATCTTCTGACTTCTGTAGTCCGCTCTTCATCTCTGCTAGAAGCTAGCGGCTTGAACCCATGTTAGCAGTTACTGTAAAAGACCTGAATCACAAAATGAACTGTCTGCAGCTGAGCTGCATTGTGGGTAATGTAGGCACCAGTGATTGACAAAAAAGAAAAATGTGGGCATTTTTGCCATGCTAAACACGTCTCAGGACCAGATGCACAGAGATGAACAGATATTTATTGGACTTGGCTGTTAGTTTTTCAGAAAATGTATTTTTCCC